ACTCTTACTTAAGGAACAGAACTTGATTGAAAATGAGGAATACAAGGAAATTAGCAAATAAGCACGAGTGCATCTCTTTTCTTTCTCAAATAAAAGAGTGGAGCTCTGCTGTTTTCTCCTCTTCCTTGGTCTCTAAAAGAATAAAAATATGTGATGGGTAAAAAAACTCATGAAACAAACGGCTTGATGGAGAGGACAAGAGCTGACAGAGGAATGACTATATTGAAGGGCGATTATTATTGAGGAGAAGGAAAGAATACATCAATAACATCTCTGACCATCCAAATGGTCATCTGAGTCAAAATTAAGCAGGAAATGCAACATTTAGTGTAAACTATTTAAAATGTAGGGATTGTGGTGGCTCAGTGCTAAGACACTGAACCTGTCAATCAGAAATTTTGGCAGTTTGGTGGTTCAAATCCCTAGCGCTACGTAACAGAGTGAGCTCCCGTTGCTTGTCCCAGATTTTGCCAACCTAGCAGTTTGAAAGCATGTAAAAATGCAAGTAGAAAAATAGGAACCACCTTTGTTGGGAAGGTAACAGCGTTCCATGCATCTTCGGTGTTTAGTCATGCTGGCCACATGACCACAGAGATGTCTTTGGACAGCGCTGGCTCTCCAGCTTTGAAACGGAGATGAGTACCACCCCCTAGAGTCAGGAATGACTAGCACATATGTGCAAGAGGAACCTTTACCTTTTCCTAACATCAAAAAGAACACAATCACAACAGTCTAACAATTTTTTTTTATTCAGCAGGCTGAGGCTGAGAAGGAGACTTCCATTGTTCCACTACTGTGTCTCATCTCTCAAAGGGGAGCCTTTACCTTTTACCTTATTTAAAACCTATTAGGAACATAAGCCAATCTCATTATGAGTTGAGAATGAGATGAAAGGCTCGGTTGGAGAAAAAGCAGGTAGGTGTTTTGGGGCTAGATTGCCCCATGCCAAGTGGGATGTTCACCAAAAAAAGTTCATATTTACCAAACAAGGCAGTTAAAGGGAAAGTCTTCATACCAGCTTGAGAAAAAACATCACAGGGGAAGTTCCTTTGCTACTGAAATTCAGGCAAGACAAACCTCAAGCAAAGGAGGGAGCAAAGTGAGCTTTATTGTCTGTTGCAGTAGTTCCAGCCTTCTCTATTGTTTACAAAAGGGGAACAGAGACACCCAGTTTGGTGTTGTGGTTAAGGTATCAACCTAGAACAGAAGACCGTGAATTCTAGTTCCATCTTAGGCATAAACCCAGCTGGGTGAGCTTGGAACAGTCATTCTCTCTTTAGCCTTACAATATGGAAAACCACTTTCGTAATCTTGTCAAGAAAACTGCAGGGACTTGTCAAGACAATTGCCAAGCGTCAAGAGTCAACACTGACCTGCAAATCACCAAGTGCTCTCCGATAAGGATAACTTATCAGTTAATTGTGTTGCACAGATGTATGTACACTGACACAGCTAACCTTTCCTGATTCTTCCGGTGCTGAATTAGAAAGAATCTTGACACAACAGAATTTTTTGTACTTCTTAAAGTCTAGTTTATTTGATCTCTATAGTAAAGAGGATAATCTTTGTGAGTTCCTGTCTCTCACGGATCTTAAACCATGTGTGTTAAAAGATCCCCTGGTCCTTCCCCTTTCCCTTTATTTCCCCTTATCTTCTTTCTACTGGTACTTTTTTTTAGTGATTTCAAAATCTTAATGAGGCATCCTGAAGTGAGAACTTGGTTTTTTTTTTCTTTTTTAAAAAAAATATTAAATTATGCAATAATATTAAAAAGTGGGGTGGGGCTATCAGATGTTCTTTAAACTCCTATGGCTCAATATTATACAATCTTCAATATGTGCCTGCTCCAATGATATATATGGAATGTGTCTAATTTTAGATAAGTAAGTGCAGTTTGCAAAGGGACGTTGCCCATAGTCAGCTAAATGAAAGCTCCCTGTTAAAAATGTTTTCAAAATATTCTCTGTTACTCACTATGGAAGCAAAATGTGAATTTAGAAAAAAGATAGTATAGGAAGAGCATTGATACATTTGAATTTTGATGTTGGAGAACATTCCTAAAAATACTGTGGAAAACAAACCAATGGATCATTGAATAAATCAGTCCAGAGTTCTCATGTGATGCATATTACTTAGGATGGTAAATGCTATTTGAAAGCTGATTCATCCAGTTTAAAGAGATCTTCCTGGAACTCTGAGTAATCTTTTTTTTATATGTGCTATCTGATCAATGCTGGGACCCTCCTTGTCCCCAAGATCCTTCTGCCTGTTTTATAAATTCTTTTGCATGTAGACACCAATATATTTTTCAGTCTTAGAAAGGATGTTCTTATACTCCACCTAAGCAGTTGAAGTGTTGCATCATTAAAATGACACTAAATTCAGAAATATTGTTGTTCTTGGACCGGAATTTGTACAAGTTGTCCCATAAAAACTGGCTGTTTACATGATCATTTGAGGAACATTTGAAGAACAGCATGAGTAAGTAAATTCTACGTTTTATTCTACTCCATTCCATTCTTCTCGAAGACTTTCTTTTTAAATGTAACAATGCAAATATAGTTGGAATGTCCACAAACACACTATACGTGTAACACCATTGCTCTGTTCTTTATTTCCAGCATTTGCTATTCAAAAGTGTAGTCATTTTGAAAATGAAAGGTCTCTTTAGTTATAACATATTTTATGTTTAAAAATATGTAAGCTATCCTTCAAAGATGGGTTAGTGTCTGTTCTTTAGCAAATTAGAAGAAAATTTTGATTCTGTTGGTAATCAGTAGAAAGAAAAACAGGCATCTTGGAAAGAAGTTATGAATGACTGTAAAAGACATTGAAAAAACATTATTCCGCAGAATCCTGTTACGAAAGGACGAAGAAAGTATGAAAATGTTGGATTTTATCCAAATAATTTCTGCAGAATAAGAAAAACATGTGCTAGCCATCATGGGATAAGCTGCTTGTCATAATATTGTTAAGTATTTTTCTGAGAATGAAGGAAACTTATAGTCAAACTGCCCCGGAATAGTAATTGTTGAAGTCTTCAAAGACCAGCTGTGATGAGATAGTGAGGCACTTTGAGGATAAAATGGTTACGATTTTTTGCCAAACAGAAAACAGCTTTTGGTACAACAGAGAGCCGAGGTGGCGCAGTGGTTAGAGTGCAGCACTGCAGGCTACTTCAGCTGACTGTTAGCTGCAGTTCGGCTGTTCAAATCTCACCGGCTCAGCCTTCCATCCTTCCGAGGTGGGTAAAATGAGGACCCAGATTGTTGGGGGCAATAGGCTGACTCTGTAAACCGCTTAGAGAGGGCTGAAAGCCCTATGAAGCGGTATATAAGTCTAACTGCTATTGCTATT